AAAGGGGGTCACGGGGAGGGAAAAGGGAGAAGACATATAGGCCCTAGTGGTTCGCATAACATGGTCACTAAAGACGAAACACGAAAATATCCGAAAAACGTCCGATGTTCGAAACGTAAAATCTTCGTTATAAATCCGAATTCAAAACCGTTCGCACCTACATGTTCGTGGCGATGAGTACGACAAGAATAACTTAATTAACTTAAACCTACATATTTCGACGAGACGGTCAATGAAAGTCAACAACTATGCCTCAAGGGCATTTTGGTAATTTCATAAGTTCGAAAATACAAAATAGGAACAGGGTTTCACAGCATAACTATCAATATAGTGGCCCTGCTTCGGGCCATCAACTTGTCTTAAATCTACATCTTTCTTTCACAGGGAAATTCTTCACTTAAAGTCTAGAGGTGGTTGCCAAAATGATCTTTTAGAAGGGTGATAAGTCGTCTAAGAAACTCATAACTGAGGAAAAGCTAACAAGTTTTTCGTAATCGACGAGGTGGCAAGATTTGACATTAGGTTCAAAACTGATAATGCTTACATCACACGTGTGATGAATGCAATACTGCGTAAACTTATGCTTTGATACTATACTGATACACCTTGACTTAGAATGTCCACTTAGACTCCGAATGGAGCTGTGCTGGCCAACAACAGGAGGGTGACGAAGCCATAAAGTGTAGTAATGTGAAAAATGTGAGTAAATTTAAACCTAAAAAAATGCAAGACTGCGCTTGTGAGTGGGAATGAACTTATTTCACACGTGATGTCAGAGCATAAGTAAAGTACAGTAGAGTAGATTGAGAATTATACCATCGAAGGTAATCACCTATACCAAGATTTGCCAATGATCCTTGTCGACACGAAAGCTTTGCTACTAAAACCTGGAGGGGGTGAAAAACAAGGATGAGTGAGCCTAAAATTAAAGCTTTGTAAAAATATTTTCGAAAACATAATAACCTCTCACCGTAAAACAAGTATAGTTTCCACATATAACATGCTACGTATAGTATGAAAATACTTACTTTAGCTTGCAATATCTCAAGAATTCAATACGTCACCATCTTTTGTAAATAAACACCTAACGTCTGATAATCACATAATCTCGCATAAATAAACATAACATATCGAGTGCTCATCGACATATGCTGACACACGAGTTCATGCAGATGTATTCTAACATGAACATGACTGGGTGTAATAATGATTTACGCTCTAGTACTACAATTACGTGAAGATTGGTGTTATACGCGTCATATACGAGTCCTAATTAAGAGACATGACAGTTGGGATAGTTGATAAAAAAAAAAAAAAAAACAAAAAGAAGAATTGAGAGATAAAAAGTTGCTACAGCTCAAACAATACACTCACACACACATATATATATATATATATATATAATATTATATAATACAATATCCAGTGCATGTACCTTGATCTCGTCATAGTGTTTTTAAACAAACAAGGTGGACTTTGTATTGAATGACACTCTTTTGTTTATTTTTTTATTTGTTTTTCTCGACCAAAAAAATAAAAAATAAATAAACAAGTGCCATTCAAAACAAAGTTCACCTTCTTTTTACAAATTTAAACAAAACCTTATCCTCTTACGAATTATTATAGGAAAATTTATGAAAAAAAAAGGGCTAGTCGACAATGGCGGCAATCATGAGACCAACCATGGTAATATCATTCTTGACCAATGAAATTAGACAACGTAAAACACTTACATGAAATGAGTACGTAAAAATGAAACTATTTTATACGAGTTATGCGATATGATTTAAACACGTGACAACATGTGTAGGTTCAAAATCCCACAATTAAAAAAGCGTTGCACTTGTAAAACTCTAGAAATTGCAATTGGAACGGTATTTTGAAAATGGAAATAGGCGATTTGAATGGAATGATTTTTCATTTTTTGGTGGTTTGGCCAAAGACAAAACCAATTTGGTAGTTTGGAGATGAGAATAAGGGCATAATATTTTACCCTAAGAATAGCAATTCATACCAAATGAATCGAAAACGTTAATTAAAATCTAATCTTATAACTACTAAAATCCAGAATGGGCAGTTGGTCCCCACCCCACGCATTTGATGACTTTCATTCCTTACAGTTTCTTTCTTTCTTTCTTTTTGAGAAAGATTAAGTATATTTTCTACATTTCAATTTCACCAAAAGAAGTAACGTATTTATATTCTTAGTCATACCGGTACACCGACTACTCTAATCATAGTGCAAATGGTAAGGAGAACCCATAAGGGAAGAAAGAATGGACCACAGGAAAATGGTAGGTTTTGATGCAAATTCCAGATCTACAAAAAGCAGGAAGAATGTTAGGAGTAGTCGCTCATACTAATCCTAGTGTAAACGTAAGGACAACCCATAAAGGAAGAAAGAAGGGACCATGATAAAAGGGTAGGTTTTGATGCAAATTCCAGATCTACTAAAAATAAGAAGAATGCTATTAGTCACTCATTCAAATTATTACAACTTACACGAACTACCCTAGTTAATCCTAGTGTAAACGGTAAAGAGAACCAATAAGGGAAGAAAGAAGGGACCACGAGAAAAGAGGAGGTTTTGAAGAAAATTCAGATCTACTAAAAATAAGAAGAATGCTAGAAGCAATCGCTCATACAAATTGTTACAACTTACATTGACTACCCTAGTTTCTAGTGTAAATGATAAGGAGAACCCATAAGGGAAGAAAGAAGGGACCACGAGAAAAAGGAGGTTTTGGTACAAATTCCAGATCTACTAAAAATAAAAAGAATGCTAGGAGCAGTTGTTCATACAAACTGTTATAACTTACATTGATTACCCCAACTAATCCTAGTGTAAAAAAGTAAAGAGAACTCATAGCGGAAGAAAGAGGAATAGTCGCTTACTTCCAAGGCTTACATGGATGATTCACAACTCTTGATGCATTTGTCGATGATCTAAAGCTTGAATAAGCGACTTTCAAACTATTGATGCATTGTCGGCTCTTGTACGATTCATTCATCCACATCATCAAATACCATTTACCTGAAGAAAAAAAAAAAAAAATTCTCCAAGTTTCTTTTCAGGTCATTAATAGATAAAAGGAGTTAAAAATTTAAGGAATTTTGAAATGACATATCTACCACAACTTCAAACTTACGACACTATTCAAGATGCTCGTTATCTACTGCTACTAGAAATGCTTTAAATTATAGGTGCACCTTTGGTTTTACAAGAAGGAAAGGGATCATCTCCATATCTTTTTCATCAAATTCATCCAATTACCTAATTCGGGTCTTTGAAATTTAATCTAACTGCTAAAATTATTATAACTTTTAAAGAATATCTTATTTTTAACCGTTGGATCAAATTTTAAAGGTTTGGATTGATTGATTGGATGAATTTGATGAAAATGATCCGTCCTTATAAGAAGATATTATAGGTAGGTTACATTTTAGTCAACATCGGAAGCCGTCCATTTGTTCACAGCCAGAACTTGTGGTAGGTGATGTTCCTAAGCCCATATCACTAACAGATTCTATTTCGATTGCTTTATGTTTATTTGTTTATAGGATAATGCTTGAGAGATTAATTTTAAAGATAAATTTTATAAACTAAATGATGTGTCACCAATAAAAATGAGCATGTATATCAATACTTAAATAATAAATTAATCATTAACTTCCATGTTCTTTAGTTTCCAAAATTTTATTTACAAATTTAGTCTTTCTAGCATTACTCTTTGTTCATATATGTGCAATTACATGCACAAGCAAAACTGTTTTCAACCATTGAGCTGCTTTCTTATTTTTTTAGGATGGTGCTATCTATATACCCATTTTTACTTTTCACAGTCTTGTTAATTTTTGTCATTTGACATTCTTGGATTCATTTGATTTGATGATCGAAAATTGAGAAGAGTGTGGTAAAGTAAAAAAGAGTGTTGATAACACATCCTATTTTTTATTTGATAAAACACGAGACTTGTTTAGAAATATTTTTAAAATAACTAAAGTGCTTTCAATTCACAAAAAATTGAAGGTGCTTGTCTAAGCAGCACCTGCATTATTATTACTAGTCTTCATGCAGGTGCATGAGCGCGTGCAGAAGACATTTTTTGAATCATGGCGTGCTACTTGCGATTTACATGTTTTAAATGTATTTATATGCATGAATTGATAAAAGAAAAGTCAAATATTTGAAGTAAATGAATATTCTTAGATTATGCTAGAAAAAAAACCCCTCACAAGTCAATCAAAGCAGCTGAATTCACATAATAAAATCAGTCTTTTAATTTTCTTCTACATTCTATTGAATTTACATTAAGTATAGAGAAAATAATAATATTTAATAAACAATTGATTGAATTACATTATTGCTAGTCCATTGTCAAAGTCGTGAGACTAAGCCCACCTCCTTCTTCCTTAGTGTAGATAATATCGTTTGTTCAAAAAAATAAAAAAAATCATTTGATAACTAATTTAATCACATTATTATGCGAGTACGAAAATACCTTTTTTATAACCGGGATTACACCCCTCTTAAGATGTTTTGAACCTGTTTAAAAATAGAAAAAAATAATATTTAATGAACAACTGATTGAATCATATTATTACTAGGCTATTATGAGATTTTAATTTAAAAAAAAATTTGCACAAAATGAATTAATTATTAAAAAAACTGTTAAAATGATTAAAATACCCCTGCATTATTTTGGGCTGTTTTTGAAATTTTTTGGTGAACCTTGTGATCCCAAAAGGAGTTGTTGGCTTTCTATACAAAGATAAATTTCTTTGTGCTTCCAATAGAAGCGCCCAAATGAGCAAAAGTGCTATTTAAATAAGCATTTTCAAACAAGTTCACTCCCATATGTCAATTGCTACATCATTTGGTGGCGAGTAAAATTTTGGACATGTTTAAGTGGTTAATATTAGTGATTTAAAGCTCTAATCCTACCACTAAAGTATGATAAACCTCAGGCTACGTCATTTCATAATTTTTAAATACCAACTAATGGAATCCCAATGGCCATAAAAACTTGCAGTAATAATCTTAACCGAAGCAATTACATTTCGCCTCTGAACCCAGGAAGCTAATCAATAAAGCTTTTGAATGACTACAGGCACCTGTATAGGATGAACATCAAGTACAACAGTTGGTGCTTTGGTATCAAATTGGGGTGGAACTGGCTCCTCGTCGTTCTATCACGAACTTCCCTTATCTGGTATACCTACCTCTCTTGTCGCCTTTCCTCGTCGTCTATTTTCGTTTCTTATAAGGTTTCCAACTTATCCTGCCCTCAATATAAAGGTTTGTCAGCTAAGAAACAAGTGTAAGAACCACGAGCCACTTTATGAACCATAAAACGAAACCTTCTGACGCTTAGAATTTACTAATATGCAATTAATCATCAAAGTATTCCACATTGGACTACATCACATGATAGGAAAAACGAGGTGAAATAGCTTAAACAATATTCCATATTTCTCAAGAACAATAAATATGACTAGATAACATAGTTCCATGACAAAAATTGTGTTTTAAAGGTTTGTATCGCCCTGAGATTCAATTCGGTTGCTGATCACTTACGTAATTTGCAACTATTTAAGGGATGAATGAGCGGAAGTAGCTGAATACCAGTTTGCTCAACCTAGGAGGCATTCGAGTCTCAAAAAATAAAAAATAAATGTATCTAAACCATGACCATTCCTTGGGTATCAAAACAGTGTCATGTCAAACCGTTGAAAACATATAATTAAGATGAACAAAGATGAGCATCTCTCCATCAGCAAAATCACTTCTTCTTCAAAGAAGGTGAGGGAAAGAGAGCTAAAAATGCAACTAAAATTCCAACTTACCATGCAAGTGCCTAGTTCTGTAAGCTACTGAAATAATCCCAACAAAGTCACTGCAACACGTCCACAATTCTCTAAGGCCCAGCCATTTACATCTGGTCATTTAAGATATATGATGGGAGCCAAGTCATCCTGTAATTTCATACATCAAAGTTAATGTCAGGCCTTGGAAGAAACATTCCGGTCATACAGAATACAGGCACCAAGATATCAAAAGTAACTTCAGAAACGGGACTATATACATAAGAACCAGTAACACTAAAGTAACAAAGAAAGTTCAGGAATAGATGAACTGTATCAGCTTATCGCTGTTTTGATTAACTTTTCTTCACTAATGCCATGAGCAGACCACAGAGTAATAGTTGTGATCAAATTTCTTCACAGTTTTGTTATGCTTGCCTGTCGTTTATTATACGATTGAGAGATCTTTATTAAAACTAAAAATCAAAGAAGACCTCGTATAAACTACTGTGAAGCAAAACTAAACCAGAAATCCAATGCGGTTGAATGAATGTTAGAAAAGTCAGTAAGGCATTCAACAGCAAGAAGTAGAGGAATAGTACAGGCATGAGGTCGGCTGAAAAGGAGAAAATTCTTGGTCTCATTTTCAATTATTCAAAGGAATAAAATTTTCATAGCCTCAAATCCACATATTCAAGACTGCATATATACAATCACAGGCCACCAAGAATGAGACTGCCCTTAACTGTGCTAGCAAAAAACCTACCGTCTTTCATCCACAACATAAGGAAAAGAAGAGACATTTGAAATTCCATCTGAATATCAGCAGTCGTAATCCTCTACCTCCCTCTCCTAATACAGAAACACAATAATAAAAGAACAAAAAAGGAAACGAGTAACGCAGTTTGCTTATTCACATGCTTTCCTATTGCAGTGAAGTAGAGTGATATCTCCAACTAGAATTATCAAACTGATACTAGAACTATGAACACTATTCAATATATCATTCACATAGATTTGAGTCAACAGCTTGATGAATTCAGAACAACATAAAGTCAAAGTAATTAGCTGTTACCAGGAATTACCATTAGTCATTTCCACTTCCAAGACATATCATATGCAAATAGTACCAGCTCAACTCAACAATTGTTTTCTTCTTGGTTGGAGACTTTGAGCTTAGTAGGAGAACACAACCAGATAAATGGGAACCTCCAAGACAAATGAAGATTTTCCTTTGTTCAACTTCACCTTGCAATTATAGTCAAATTCTTAATTAACTCCTCATCTCCGGATTTCTTCAGGATCTCAGCTATATTGTCAACGTAAGTAGCTTTCAGTTTAATTCCTTTTTTTAGCATTGTTTTTGCCAGCTTTGCAGCATCCACTAAATGCATTTGCTGACAAAGTCCCATTAAAAGAATAGGATAAACATCAGAGTCGATGGAAGACAAGCATTCCATTTTATTAAGTTCATCAAACAAGCACAAAGCGTCAACCACCCGACCATCCAAACAAAGTTTTTTCAACATAATGCTACAGGCCAAACTATTTGGTTTGACCCTGCCATCAACCATCATCTTAAAGACCTTTTCTGCCTCCTCAGGTTTCCTACCTTTTGCCAAGGACACAACAAGAGAACTATAGCAATCACCATAACTGACACTACTTCCTGCAACAACTCTATCAATTAACTTATAAACCTCTTCAACTCGATCCTCCACACACAAACCCTTAATAAGAGAACTAACTGTAACACGACTTGGGGCGCATCCACAAGCTTCCATTCGGTCCAAAATAACCAAGGCATCCATCGACAATCCCTTGTCACAAAGCTTTTGAATCACAGATGTATAGGTTACTACATTAGGAGTACAATCCCCACCTTCCTTCTCCATTTCCTTCAATAACTCAAAAGCTTTCTTCATATTATCACACCTACAAAATCCATCAAGAAGTGCCGAGTACACCACAGCATTGGGCAAACAACCATGTTCCTTCATAACCTTAAACAACCCACAAGCGTCATCTAACCGACCCACATTACAAAACCCCTTGATCAATACCATGTACGTGATCAAATCGGGACAAAGATCCACCAAACCCATCTCCTTCACCAAAATTTCAGCCATATCCATATCTTCCATATCACAAAACAACCTTATAACAACATTATACACCGTAGTATCTGGACGCAAACCAAATTCCGGCATTATCCTTAATACCCTCAAAGCTTCACCAGCAAGCTTAGCTTCTTTACACAAATTAAAAACAACCTTAAACATCTTAAGATTGACAAAGCACCCTTCAACTTTATAAGCCTCCAAAACATCGAAAATCACAGTCGGTTTTATCCTAATCTCACACAATTCACAAGCTTTGCTATACATAAAATAACTGTGCCTATAAGTGGATTGAAGACCAGCCCATATGAAAAACCTAAGACCCATTTGTGATTGGCTACCATTGCATCTCTGTAAAACCTGACTTACATATTTGGAGTCCAATTTCACCTGAATCGACGCTAGGATTTCCTCTACGTTGCCACCATTTTTCTGCAGGTGATTATACACTGTTTCAGCCGATGCCGCCGCCGTAGAGAAGAGCAGGATTGACAATTTGTAGTTTTTGAGGCCGAATGAGGAGGAGACGAACCGGGAGATTGAAGAAAGGCTCATCATTTCAACGAAATTAGAGGGTTTTGATCCAAATATGATTTAAAACCTAAATGCTGAGTGCTGGGAAGGCACGCTAACTAACCAAACGACCGTGTTTTGGCTAAACATAGAAAATTTTGAAATTTGTAGATTTTTTTCATGAATAATGCTAGATAAACTAAATTTATAAACTTCATGATATGTCACTAATAAGAAATAAGCATGTTAATCAATATTTATGTAATAATCTAAGGGTAATGCTAGAGAGACTAAATTTGCAAACTAAATGATGTGTCACCAATAAGAATAAGAACGTTTATCAACGTGTAAGTAATAAATCAATCATTAATTTCCATGTTCTTTAGTTTTCAAAACTTTATCTACAAATTTAGTCTCCCTAGCATTACTCATAATCTGATTATCAACTTTCATGTCATTTAGTTTGCAAATTTAGTTTACAAATTTATTCTTCCTGCTATTACCTTTTCCTCATGGGTAATCTAGACTGAATTTGCAAACTAAATGATGTGTCATCAATAAGAAATAAGCACGTTAATCAACACTTAAGTAATAATCTAATCATCAACTTCTATGTCATTTAGTTTACAAATTTTTTATTAGATTATTATTTAAGTGTTGATTTACGTACTTATTTTTTATTAGTGTCATATTATTTAGTTTCCAAATTTAGTTTACATAGCATTACCTTTTTTCATATAAATAAATAAATATAGATATGGTGCAGTGCTATGGATTGTGATTGTGTAAATCTTATTGAATCCTTACATAGTTCCATAATATATTTTAGATAGTGTCCTAGTTGTAATGTATTATTTGAAACACGAGGATTCTCCCTTGCTTACAACTGTAAATAAAGGCACAAGGTGTGAAAAATCACCCCACATAATTCACCAAATTCTCTATTTTCTCTTTGATTGCCGCTTCCCTTCCTCTTTCTATAATTTCTCAGCAAACAAGGCCTACAGCAAGTAAATTATTATTTTTTTTTTCGAATAAAAAAGAACACATACTAAACACATTTTAGTTTTTTAGAAAGTTGCTTTGGACGCATTTCTTTGATTGAGCTAAAGTGACGAGATCATATTCCAAATACTAACATGTCAGCAAAAATAGACGTAAATAACGGACGTCGAGGTAACATCTCCGAAGGGTGTGTCATCCCCTAAATGACAGTTGGCCGCCCCTGTTGGAAGACCTAGTACACTAGCTGATAGTCAATCAATCTATCATTAGCCTGAAGCGCAACAGAGCACTCGGTTCGTAGGATTCACTTCCTTAGAAGATGAGTAACACGGTACAAAACAAATGCATAATTGATCATTGTCTCAACCATTTCCATCTCATGAGATTAATCCGGATTACTCCTGAGACTTGAAGTTCTTAGTCCAGTATACTAGTTTGGGTGAGATATGAAATTAGAATGAGATTATCATCGTTGACGTTCACTTATATGGTGCTATTGACATAAATGAAAAGCGAAGATATTGAACTATGTTTTGTTGTTTAGTGACAACGTAGAACTGATTGGCAACCTGCAATTACAATCCAGGTTGAATTAAGTTCCTTAACAAAGAGTGTTTGAACTTGTTGTTCCTACATTGCCTTATGTAACCCTGTTGTGCTACAAGTGGGAAAGGAAGCGTAATAAGATGAATGAAATAGTGCGATGTAATGCACCCCTTATGGCGCATGGCTTCTCACAAATGCCTTGTGATTGATTACACCATTATGAATGTGATTAGCATTTCTCCATGGGGATATTGATATAAAGATTTAAATGTAAGTTCTTGAAGAATTATATGAACTGGTTTAAATAGTTCCAGATCACGGAACACTCTCTCAACTCGTTTGAGGTGTTTAATTTACAGATTGAAGTAATCTGGATGGATGTGGTATACATGTCTAAGTGATTATTTGATCAATCATGGATATCAATAAACTACGCTCTTACGTGTTAAATTAAGAAGTATTTCAAATTCCTAGAGTAGTAGTTTATGTCGATGACATGAATCTCACTAAGACTTTGGAAGAACTAGAGAAATTGCCTCGCACTTGAAGATGAAATTTGAGATGAAGGATCATCCATACGCTAAATGCAAATGAGACCCTTGAAGAGGTTGTGAAACTCGAAGTTCCATATCTAAGTAGATTAAGTTCAACTTTGCGCTTTGTCATACTTAAGACATTGCATTAGACAGAACATATTCTTCGTTGTTGATCTATTGGTAAAAATGCAGCACTATGCTTACACATAGTCACTAAATCAGCATTAAAGATGCTTTTTAGCTACCCTAAAGGTACTACGGATTTGAGCTAATCCCTACGCATTAAGCCCATCCAACCTTCTTGATCCTTGGAATGATGCTTGTGGAGCCAAAAATAATCAAGAGGCGACGCGTGGATTTTTGGGCAAAATGGACAAAATTACCCTTGAGGAACACTGGAATTCCTACGTGCAAGCAGTAGGCGAACATCCCACAATTAAGTCAAAAGTGCCCAAAATAGGTATTTATTCAAAACCTATTTCATCCATCTTCTCCACAAGGTAACCCCCAAAACATTCCTTGTAAATTATGTTAATTGGCTAATTAATGGATTTATTACCTAATTAATCTATTAATGGCGAATTAAATTACCAATTACATCCAAAAAACACACAAGAGGTCGGTCACCTTCTCTCCCAGGGGAAATGGCCATGCCTTATATATTCTACCTCATTTTCTCTAAAAAGCTAAGTTTTCACTTTTGCTAAACACTCAAAAATTCTCCAAACACTTTTCCCTCAAAATTCTAACTTTGGCATCGGAGGTTCTTCGGCCAAAGGCCACCACCCCCCCCCCCCAAAAAAAAATCATAAGGCTGGTTTGGTATGGGATATCGAACCAAAATCCTTGTCCCGATTCCCAAACCGAAATTTTCGGGATTCTCAATTTCAAGATCGATCCCAAACCAAATTTTCGGGAATCCCCAAATAATTTTGGGCTTTTGGGCATTTGGGCTATAATAGTGGATCTGTGCACTGTCCAATGTGGAGAATAGGCTGAATAGCCAATCTGCATAATTGGCCTGTAGAAATAAAATCAAAAGAAAAGGACGTGTATGCCATAAGCTTTAAGGTAAGAGAATGACAATTGCAATTTCAATTCATTAAGGGAAATGACTTGAGTTCATTAAGGTAAGCATTAAGCATACATGTAATTAAGAACAAAATAGAGCATTAAGCATGGTGTGATTAGATTTGGGTTTAGGCCTGCAAATGGTCGAATAAAAGATGCAAATGTCGATTAGGCAAGTTGGACAAGAAGAGAAGGTTCTTTCATAGCATTGATAGAAGTTCTAACTGAAAAAAAGATCTTTATTACATTGAAAAGGATGTGTATGCCACTAGCAAAAATTGCTTATGATATACCTACTAACCTACATGGTGATGGTATGAAAACAGAAATAAGTGCAATTTCAGCCTAGCTTAATTAATTAGCTATATTTCTTAAATGAAGCATTGATTCCTTGGAATTCTTCAAGTCAAGGTTTGTGTTCCAGCTACATGCATTAATATCCATCATAGATCACACTAAGACAATTATATTTTTTTCCCAAAGGAAAACCAGCAAACAAGTGCAATTTCACACTAATCCATTACTGCATACAGTCCCAGAACTACTGGGATATACCCATAAATTTCAAATTCATAAACCCTAACACTCAAAAAACTCAGATTCAGTTCGGAATATCAAATGGGTTTGTACCATCTTCCAATTCAGAGCCAAAAATCAAGTTTACATTAGCAAAAACAGAGAAATACCAACAAATAAAAATTTGAAGAAGGAGAAGACAAATATATGTTGACACCTCACCTTACGTTAGTATGGCTTCCGCAGACGATCCTAAAACTCAATAGCTTTTCGCTCTTCTGAAACCAGTAAGGGAAGATTCAAGAATGTTGCGAAAAGAAGTAAACTTCGCAAACAAAATTAATTCCAAACCCTAAATTAAATTTCAAAAGGAAGATAGAAATTAGATGTCAAAACACTAAATTAATTACCTAATTTGGGGTGAGCGTGAGACTCAGTGCTGGATCGAGAGTTCTGTCTATGAGAGAAAATCACCCGAGAGAGAGATCGCGAGAGAGATTGCGAGAGAGAGCGGTGGCGTGGCGGTGGCTGTGTGGTGAAGGAAGGCTGGAGAGTTAGAGACGATAGTATAGTGTGGTGGTGGGTCGGTGGTTGGTCGTAATTCGACACATAGAAATGAGATGAGGGCTTGGTGAGGGAGGCTTAGGCTGTGCTACAAGTTTGAGTTCGATGGAATTAATGGAACTAAAATGGGATGAGATCCGACCTAAAAACAATTGAACGACATAGATTAAATCCAAAACAATGAACGGTCGAAATAATTCTCGTATAATTAAAAAATAATATATATATAATATTTTTTTTCGGTTCGGTATGGCAATACTGAAAAAGGGAGATGCAAAACCGAATTCCATACTGAAAATTTTGGGAATTTTGGTTTGGGATCGGGATTTTTTCGGTTTGGTTTGGGATTTTTGGGATTTTTTTCCAGCCCTACAAATTCATCATGGGCACGTGAGGTTTTTGGCCTTGACCTAAGGTGTTATTTGTTTTGTAGGTGCAATTTTGTCCAAGAACAAGGAGGAAGAAATTTGCATCCACAAATTGGTGCTTTCATTAAGAGCTGAGTCCCACACTCGTAGATGACTCTCACATCCAAGGTTTTTCTATTTTCTGGTCCATTTGTAGATTTTTTGTACGTTTTTATTTTAAAAAATTCTTTGACAAAATGTAAAAGAGAAGTGCAATAGCTAGAAATTTAGAGAATTCAACGAGTGAAAATTCCAATATTCATGAGATAGGACCGCGGCGATCCACGAGGCTAAATGTGACAATAAGTGGAGCGGCACCAACACCACGAGTTTCCACTACGGGAACCACCGCGATGGCCACAACGGTAGCCACCTGCGACGAGGTCCATGGTGTCACTACCACGGCCCGAGCTGTGCCATCTAAGCAAGCCTAAGCCGTGCCATCCA